GCTTACCATCAAGGGGGATAGCCCAAGTCACAGTCAACTGTCAACTTTATTATTATCCCACATAACATCTAAAATCCAGATTTTATTTTATTAAACTTTTATTATGGCCTTTGGGCCAGAGAACACAATAAAATACACAAACTTTTTTAAAAAATAAAATGAAATTTACATAAGGCACATTATAACTGTAGTACAGATGGCAGGGGCAATCAGTGAAGTTCGTGCTAAACTTCAATCATAGGTAAGATAGATACAACAAATCGTTGCACAAAACCAAGCTAGAAAGATAATGGCACGATCCTGGTCACTTAGAAACAGTGACTGATAGACATTGTGCTCTCTACTATGGTAGTTCTTTAAAATGAGATAAATATATGTCTTCCTAGGTTCCCTATATAGAAAGCAACAGGGGAACCCAGATTCCAGAGAGCTATTTCCACATGAGTATAAGCACTGCTGAAAAGGGATGTTTTTATACCCCCAGTATCACTCAACACTGCAGAAGGTAGTGAAACCAACCTGGCCAAGGTAAAAAGCTCAATGAAATTTCAGAATTAGAATTGAAGAGATGATACACATCACATCTGAGAGGAATACGTTTAACTATAGGGTGGGATACTAGACTTAAAACTGGCTTGAAAATCAATGTCCCAGATATGTTGTTTAAGATGACTCCTGGCATTTTAAAATATTAATGAACAGACTTTCCAAAGAAAAACTAGTCTATGGACTATTTTGCTATTAGCTTTTGTTAGCCAGGTTGATTTTAAATGATTTTTAGAGTATCACTGGAAGCAGACCCACAGGATAAAAAAATCAATTTCAACAGAAATTAAGGAGAAAAACCACACTTGCCCAATAAATGTATGTGCCATGATTAGGAAGCTTGGAATTGCACTCCAAGATATTTATATGTATGTGTGCCATTCTCTATTGAAGTCACTTTGATTTGTTTTGATGTGATTTTAAAAAAAATCCACAGATCTGCCGACTCTTTATGCACAGACAACTATTAAAAACATCTGCAAGGAATGTAAGCCTACTTAATGCCTGGGACAGGGTTTCAGATTGTGTCTCTGCAATGTTTCCTCTCCTTTCTTAGCCCCTTGTTTTCTCTCTCTCTCTCTCTTCTTACCTTATCTTTACAGGAAATAAATTATTCCTGAAAAACCAGTTGTTATAAAGAAAATAAACTAAGCTAAATAAGTACATGAAAAAGTTGTGTGGAAATTGTGATGTGGACAATATGGAATTTTGCCCATGACTATGTTCTCCAACATAAAATCTGAACTTATAAAGGCAATTTGTACACACTTCAAGGCTGAGGGACTTCCAAGAGCCAAACGTAGCATGATTAGGTATTCTTAGGGCAGTACAATTTGTTGTATGTATTCATGTCCCTGAGACATCTTAGACCTAAACTGTAGAGCCTAGCAAGGGAAATAGCATTTGAATTGATGAGCCATTTTTGCAAGAACATTGTTTAACATCGCCCAGCACACTATGGTGATAAAAAGCCTCCCTTTGTTAATGTTAGTTTGAGTGATGCTACAAACTGGAACTGCATAATCAGAATGTTTAGTGCCAGTAAGCGTTCCTGTATTATTACACACTTGCTACATAGTATCTAGGCAAACCTCCTTCTATGATCTGTTTTGCTATTTTTATTTTCCATCCTTAGGTATACTTTATTATCTATATGTAAAAATAGTATTTTCTTCAAGTTACATGCATTTACTAGTAATTATTTCTAATATATAATTATACAAGCGTGATGGTAAACTGATGACTATTACTTTAGATTGGAACTATGATGGATGAGTCTATCAATTTGAAATATATTATTCCATGGCTTTTAACTGCATGTTATTACAATGCAAATTTCCACCCAGCACTGAAATAACTCTCTCTGTTGGCTCTGTTGATAGTCTTCTCTGTTTATCTTTGACATCTGCCCTGCTTTCTATGGTATCTCATAAGTTTAAGGCACACTTTCCATGGCATCAGGATCATGTTGTCTGGGAACTATTAATTTTTAAGAGCTGCATTCTGGCATTCAGTGCCATATCCTTATTGGGAAGTTTCCATCTGGATTATTTTGAGAACAGAGCTAACTCTGGAATTTTCAGGGAACATTACATAGCCTTTGTGAGAAACTAAAAGATACTAAGAAAAACAATACAGCACATATTGGAGAATTCATGTTCATGCATATTGGTGCTACTCCTTCAAATTGTATTAATGCTTTCATTTCTTGGTTACCTTTCAAAACAGAGCACTGTTCCAACAGTTCAAGTAAAAATATTAAATAAACCTGTTCTTCTCTTTCCTTAATTTTGAGTAGCAGAATCTTTTGTTACCAACATGGATTGTGAACTTCAGAGATTGCATTTATTAAGTAACTATCAGGAAGAATTCCCATCTTGTTAAAAACTACCAGCATTGGTTTGGTTAGAAAGCCTCATCACCATTCATTGTTTGACACTTGAATCTCTTGAAAAACAAAAAGATGCCACCTAACCTTACACATTATCAATGAACAGGAAGATTTCCCACTGGTCAGGTGGTGAGACCAAGTTCTGATTTCTCTTTGTAGAAATCATGCAGTAGCCAACGTACTTGCTACTAAAACATTCACTAGTCAATTTGTTGCCATTTCATTTGTAAAACCTTGGTACTGTTTCTAGAAACGCCATTAGCTTATGCCAGAACTTCATTCTAGCGCACTGTAGCTTTCTCTTAAGCTTTGCTTTTTTCAAAAGACATAAGATGTATATTCTCATAATCCACAAATGTTGCCCAATTATCCCCACTGTATTATCTATCTCCAGATATAGATCCCACCAATATTTTTTTTCTTTATGATTAAGTTCCTTTCCATCTCTGTCTCTGGAAACAATAATCAAAGCACCTGGATAGAGATCAATTTGTCTTCCATCGTGAAAATTGTGAGATGGTATTCCAGGTAAGTAGATCAAGCAGGTAGTGGATATAGGCATATCAGGTGATGTGCATTTGTGTAATAAGGGAGGGTGTGGCCTAAGGAGATCCAACACCCTATATCAACGTGTGTATAATTATTAGGCAGCTTCTTTTCCTGAGGTAAAATGGGTCTCAAAAAAGAGATTTAACTGGCTTTGAAAAGTCAAAAATTGTAAAAAGTCTTTCAGAGGGATGCAGCACTCTTGAAATTGCTAAGGTATTGGGGCACGATCACAGAACCATCAAACATTTTGATGCAAATAGTCAATAGGGTCGCAAGAAATGTGATGAGAAAAAAGATGCACATTAACTGCCAAAGATTTGAGAAGAAATCGAACATGAAGCTATCATGTTATCCTCCAGTGCTGTCATATTCCAGAACTACAACCTTCCTGTAGTGTTCAGTACTACAAGGTGTTCAGTGCTCAGAGACATAACTAAGGTAAGGAAGGCTGAAACCTGACCACCACTGAACAATTATTTGTAGATTTTGAGATGTTTATTAGCCTAACAGATGCAAATAAACAAGTTGAAATGGGCAAATTTTCATTTTTCATTTAGTTGCCCAATAATTCTGCATACTAATAGTTGTCCAATAATTTTGCATACTAATAGTTGCCCAATAATTCTGCACACAAAAGAAAGCCAAAACCTCACTTTAATTATTCAGGTTTGAGGTTTATCAACATTTCAGATTGACCGAGAGCACTGTATGTCAGGATTCCGGCAGTTGCCACTGTAGTTGTTTAATAATAAAATTAACCCTCCAAAATACAACATGCCTAATAATCATGCACTAGAGTGTAAATATCAGTGTTATTGGCAATTCTAACCTAAACACTTTGAGGAGGCAAGGTAGAAAAGGGTTGATTAATTCTCTACAGCCAGAACTCAATCCTACCCTACTGTAAAAACTCAGATCATTGTACAAATTGTAGAGCTCTGTTATATTGTATCAACTGGATAAAATGCTCCCAGGAACAAAGGATGATAGAAAAAGATAATGGCCACAACTGGCAGTATAATCATTCCTTTCACCTTAGTATCTTTTGATAAATCAAATTAGAAACAATTTACTTCTCTTCTTTTGAGAGAAGTTATCAGAACTGATAGTAAAGAAGAATCTTGTAGTGGGGTCCCTTTATTGGTATTTTTGCTAATAAACAGGATTTAACATCGTTCTCTGCAGCAAGATATTCCTCTACTGGCTGGGAAATTCTAGGATATAAAGCCTACATGTCTTATAGTTGTTGAGGTTGGGAAATAACAAGTCTATAAGGGGACCCATAAAGCACTTGTCTCAATTCCTTTTACCACATGCAGCTTCATTAAGGAATTGAACATAGGAAACCCCGTTTTGCTCTCTTGCACTTGAAGTGCTTCTTAGACCAGGGGTCACCAACCTTTTGGACCTCAGGGACCACCAAACTCAACTTTAAATCCCGCAGATCAGAGACCCTGGGAAAATCCCCAAAAAAATTCTGCAGGAAAATTCCCCACCCCGTTTTCCTACCGATTGATCATTCTTTATTTGGGATTGCAGGATACCATCTCCAGCTCTGTTCTCAGGGAGAGAGAGAGAGAGACTTTTGGCTTCATGCAAGGAAAACAGCAGAAGCAGCAGAAGTCTTTCTTTCTCTCCCCCAAACTCCGCCAGAAATGAGTCTTTGTGAGACTTGTCGCATCGGTGCTCCAAAGACTCATTTCTGGTGGAGTTTGGGGGAGACTTTTGCTGCTTTGCATGCAGCCAAAAGCAGAAAAAAGAAATGGAAAGAAGCAGCCTGGTGGCCAGGCCAGCTGCATGGGGTGAGTGGGGCAAGTTTCCCCCCTCCATCCTTTCCCCCCTCCCCTCACTACGTGTTCGCAATGCAAACGATGCAAGCCTTGTGTTCCCACGGGCCATGTGGGTAGCACAGCCTAGTGTTCCCGCGCAGCCTGGACTAATTGTTTTGGGGGGTGCTTTGGGGGTGACATTTCTCTGGTCCACCAAAATTTTCTCACGGATCACCAGTGGTCCCTGGCCCACTGGTTGGTGACCACTGTCTTAGAAGGCTTAAGATTGTAGGACTGATCATGGCAGATACAAGCTGCCTGTTGAAGGACTTCAGATTGGTGTGCAAGCATGCAGGTGCTGGTAGGTGGATGCATGCGTTAAAGCAGGGGTGTCAAACTCAATTTTATTGAGGGCCATATCAGCATTATGGTTGCCCTCAAAGGGCCAGTTGCATGTAAGACTATGTATCATATTAGTTGAGGAGTGCATTATGTCTAAGATGTGGGTCAAACAGGATTAACATTCAATTCAAATATTTCAAATAAATCTGCAAAAACAAAGAAACAGCATATTTAGTTCTTTCTCATGCCATTTTGTCCGAGGCTGATGTTTGGCCTATTTTTTTGCTTACAAGTTCATCTATGTTTGAGGTCAAGTTCTGGGCTGTGGACACTCTTAGGATAGAGTGGAATTGTTCATCAGTGAGAAGACTTCTGTGTGCGCTTTTGTTCACCTTTATCACAGAGAAAACATGCTCACACACATATGTACTACCAAACATGCAGAGCATTCGAGCAGCTTGTAGCCGGAGTTGGGGCATCGCTTTAGGGATGAACCTGCTGAAATGCACGGGCCCCACAGAATCATACTTTGCTTTAAGTGTGCTGCTACATTGGAGTTCTATCAGCTCCATCTGGATATTTACAGGTGCTTTCCTCACATCAATTGCAAATGGATTGCTGAGTAGTTCAAAATTGAATTTCTGTCCTTCAAATTTAACAAAGCGACGTGTAAACTCCATGTGAAGTATGTTCAGTTTATCACCAAAATAAGTATGTGAGAACACAGTGGTGGTGACTTGGTTTAGGATTGTTTGGCAACAGGGAAAGTGACTCAAATTTCCTTGTTTCATCTGAATGTCCCAGAGTTTCAGCTTAACCTGAAAGGCATTCACTGCATCATACATGTCTGTGATCACAGAGTCCCGTCCCTGAAGCTGAAGGTTTAGTGCAGTGAGATGCTTTGTTATGTCGCACAGAAAAGCTAACTCACACAGCCACTTTTCATCCTGCAGTACTGTGGAGTCTTTTCCTTTACTTTTCATGAACTGACAGATCGTCTCACGCAACTCAAAAAATCTGAGCACTTTTTCATGACTGAGCCATCGCAGTTGTGTGTGATAGGACAGGTCACCAAGTTCAGAATATATTTCCTCCAGAAAAGACTTAAATTGACAGTGATTTAAACCTTTGTCTCTTATAAAGTTAACTATCTGTATTACAGTGTACATTACATGTTCCATCTTCAGGGCTTTGCCACATAGTGTTTCCTGGTGTATGATGCTGTGATATACTATCAGCTCACCTATGCAATTCTCCCTCTTCATCTTCTCACACATCCTTCCTACTAATCCACTCTCTTCCATGCACATCGAAGGTGTTCCATCTGTTGTCAGTCCCGTAAGTTTGTCCCAGGGCAGTTTCATGTCATTTATGCTTTTAGATACTGCTTCAAATATGTCTTTTCCAGTGGTAGTGCCATCCATTGATCTCATATCCAAAAGTTCCTCTGTAACGCATAAACTTGAGTCCACTCCACGAATGAAGATTGTCAGCTGTGCCATACCAGTAATGTCAGCGCTCACATCCACAGCAAGGGAATATGCAATGAAATTTTTCCCTCTTTCAAATAATTGCATTTGTAAATCAGTGGCAAGTTCACATATATGACCATCAACAGCATTTCTGCTTAGGCTTACATTCAAAAATGCTTGCTTTTGGTCTGGACACAAGACTTCGCACACTTTAATCATGCAGCACTTCAAAAACTCCCCCTCTGTAAACGGCCGGCCTGATTTAGCTATCTTTTCTGCCACTATAAAACTAGCTTTCACAGCAGCCTCACTTTGTGACGCTGCTTTTCTGGACATACGCTGCTTTACCATCAGACTCTTTTTAAACTCTTCCACCTTCTTTAGCTTCTGCTGTATGTCCATGTGTTTGTACTTGTCCTCGTGTTTTGTCTCATAGTGCCGTCTCATGTTATACTTTTTAAGTACAGCCACATGAGCTCCGCAAACAAGGCACATGGCCTTACCGTCAATGTTAGCAAACAGGTACTCCGCCTCCCACCTCTTTTGAAAGCATCTGTTTTCAAAGTCTACTTTCCGTTTGGGCGTTTGGGGGGGGTTTAAATATCCGTATAGGTACGCCGGTCTTTTTCACCACAGATGTTGTATATATGAAGTACGAGACTGCAAAGTCTGGATGCTGCGTGAGGCGAGCAGTTGTCAGCGCTCTAGGTATCCACTCTGGAGGCCCAGTAGGATGCCGTGAGTCTGGATGTTCTGGGGTACAAGGGGAGCCTTCCGACAAGGAGGAGATGGAGTCCCCAGTGCGAGGCTGCTAGCGTTGGAGCTGCTTTCCAGTTTGACAGGTGACCGGACTGCAGGTGTTGGCTCCAGAAGTTGCTGCTGCTGCTGCTAAGCTGTTCCCTGGTGGAGAGGAATGAGTTGAGTTTGACATGTTTGCCTTAGAGGAAGTTAATCTACATATTTGGGGACAAAAAGACCCCCAGAAAGTGGTAAAACCTGGTGAAAATCAATCAGCATACACCAAGCCATAATAAAAAAAATTATAAACCAACACACACACAACAGACACCTTTATGTTGGAGAAGTGTGTGTGCTGAAGCAGAATCTAGTCTAGTGTGTTAAAAAGAACCCAGAAGGCTGCTAAAGGCTGAATAAGGAGGGGAACGGTTTAAAAGCCATGGTGCGTAGTGGTTAGAATGCAGTACTGCAGGACTAACTCACTGCTCAATCCAGAAGTTCAATTCCAAATGGCTCAAGGTTGGCTCAGCCTTCCATCTATCTGAGGTCAGTAAAATGAGGACCAAAATTGTTGGGGCAACTTCCTGGCTCTGTAAACTGCTTAGGGCTGTAAAGCACTGTGAAGCGGTGTGTAAGTCTGTGCTATTGCTATTATTTTTCTGCTCTGTAGCAGCACTTCTAGTATTTAATACTGATGTGGGTGGCTATATGGCCTTTTTGCTGTATTATGTAGAAAGACAGAAAAGGTAAACCTAATGCTATTCTTTAAATTGAGTGAGAGATTTTAACTCAGAGACCTCAGTTAAAATACACTGCTCAAAAAAATGAAGTGAACACAAAAATAAGATATCCTAGATCTGAATGAATGAAATATTCTTATTAAATACTTTGTTCATTACATAGTTGAATGTGCTGACAACAAAATCACACAAAAATTATCAATGGAAATCAAATTTAGCAACCCATGGAGGTCTGGATTTGGAGTTACACTCAAAATTAAAGTGGAAAAAAACACTACAGGCTGATCCAACTTTTGATGTAATGTCCTTAAAACAAGTCAAAATGAGGCTCAGTAGTGTGTGTGGCCTCCACGTGCCTGTTTGACCTCCCTACAATGCCTGAGCATGCTCCTGATGAGGTGGCAGATGGTCTCCTGAGGGATCTTCTCCCACACCTGGACTAAAGCATCCCCCAACTCCTGGACAGTCTGTGGTGCAATGTGGCGTTGGTGGATGGAGCGAAACATGATGTCCCAGATGTGCTCAATTGGATTCAGGTCTGGGGAACGAGCAGGCCAGTCCATAGCATCAATGCCTTCATCTTGCAGGAACTGCTGACACACTCCAGCAACATGAGGTCTAGCATTGTCTTGCATTAGGAGGAACCCAGGGCCAACTGCACCAGCATATGGTCTCACAAGGGGTCTGAGGATCTCATATCGGTACCTAATGGCAGTCAGGCTACCTCTGGCGAGCACACGGAGGGCTGTGCGGCCCCCTAAAGAAATGCCACCCCACACCATTACTGACCCACTGCCAAACCGGTCATGCTGGAGGATGTTGCAGACAGCAGAACTTTCTCCACGGCGTCTCCAGACCCTGTCATGTCTGTCACGTGCTCAGTGTGAACCTGCTTTCATCTGTGAAGAGCACAGGGCACCAGTGGCGAATCTGCCAATCTTGGTGTTCTCTGGCAAATCACACAAAAATTACACAAAATCACACAAAAATTATCAATAAAAATCAAATTTAGCAACCCATGGAGGTCTGGATTTGGAGTTACACTCAAAATTAAAGTGGAAAAAAACACTACAGGCTGATCCAACTTTGATGCAATGTCCTTAAAAAAAGTCAAAATGAGGCTCAGTAGTGTGTGTGACCTCCACGAGCAAGCACAACCCCCACCTGTGGACGTCGGGCCCTCATACCACCCTCATGGAGTCTGTTTCTGACAGTTTGAGCAGCCACATGCACATTTGTGGCCCGCTGGAGGTCATTTTGCGGGGCTCCTCCTGTCCCTCCTTGCACAATGGCAGAGGTAGCGGTCCTGATGCTGGGTTGTTGCCCTCCTACGGCTTCCTCCACGTCCCCTGATGTACTGGCCTGTCTCCTGGTAGCGCCTCCATGCTCTGGACACTACGCTGACACAGAAAACCTTCTTGCCACAGCTCGCACTGATGTGCCAATCCTGGATGAGCTGCACTACCTGAGCCACTTGTGTGGGTTGTAGACTCCATCTCATGCTACCACTAGAGTGAAAGCACCGCCAGCATTCAGAAGTGACCAAACCATCAGCCAGAAAGCATCGGAACTGAGAAGTGGTCTGTGGTCACCACCTGCAGAACCACTCCTTTATTGGGGATATCTTGCTACCTGCCTATGCTTTCCACCTATTGTCTATTCCATTTGCACAACAGCATGTGAAATTGATTGTCAGTCAGTGTTGCTACCTAAGTGGACAGTTTGATTTCACAGAAGTGTGATTGATTTGGAGTTACATTGTGTTGTTTAAGTGTTCCCTTTTTTTTTTTGAGCAGTGTATGTCTGTTCTGCTACTGTAATCTTCTCAGGCCAGACATTATGGTTTGGTGCAAACATGCAAGCTAAAATTGAATAATAAGTTCTATATATGAATTAACTTATTTACTTATTTGCTTTACAATTCTCTCCCTGCCCCTTGCCCCCAAATAATACCCCATCTGATTCTAACCTCTGGTTCTCCCCTGCCCCCTATAAATCTATAATTTGTTGACAGTAAATAGATATGGCCTTCCCTTAAACAACTGGAGTAAGAATTACAGAGAATGTACACATGAAATTCTTAGGTAAAGAATAGTACAACATTTTAATATTTCAATATGAAATACTCTGTGCTCAAGCTTAGTTAAAACTGTGAAGGTACAAACTGTATCTGGCTGTCTAAAAGTAAGTAAATTTGGGCCTGACCAAGTATCAGATTACATAAACTCCTTTAATTGTATCACTTAAGTGTGATTGGTAAGAGTGTGCTTTTCCTGTTTCAAACAATGACAGAACTTAAAGTCCACTATTTGATAAGAGTGGAGTTTACAAGAGATTCAGAACTTAGTCCATGGGAAAACTATGGAGTTTGAATTTACAGATCTCAAAGGAGATGAAGCAATATATGTAAATAAAAATATAATTTCAAATGCATGGAATATACACTGTATGTGTGTACTATTTTGTTATTCTATTTGTAATTGCTGTAAGCTCTCCGATCATGTATTTGAGATGACAAGTTGAAGTAATATATATCACTGGCTACCACTCATAATGGCTATCACCTTTAGAGACATTTGCCTTTCAATACTTGCTTCTAAGCCACACAAAGCAGTGTATGGATTTATCAGCATACCTGCTTGACCAAGGTGGGAATAGGATGCAGGGCTCATGCCTTTGCATGCCTCTTCTTAAGGCCGGCGATGCAGGGTATAAGTAATACACTAATGTCACCCATCCTGCAAATCCAGGTCAGCCTCCCTCCCTTTAGTGCCTTGATTGGATCATTTGAGATTTTTAATCCACCAAGTCTATTGGGCACCAGTTTGGGCCAAACTGCTTTGAGACAAGCAGGGACTGCCAGGTCTTAGGAAGGAAAGGCTCCCAAAGCACGGCCAGGGAGGGTATGCTCTCCCTTCCAGGAAGCACCCAAGGAATCCTTGGTAAAGGGAGGAGCAGAGAAAAGGATCGAGGCCCAGAACTGCTCTGAAGGGCCCAATGTCCCAGGATCAGTGGAAATACCATCTATCTCAATCGCCCTACCTGCCCAGCCCAAGGGGAGACGCATTCCTCCTCCAGCCTTACCCTCCAGGAAGCCCCCTCCCCCCTGCCCTCGGGAGAACCGTGGTGTGTGCTGAGCAAAACCCTGGCGCTGATCCACTGCAAACTCAGCCCCAGAAAGAAGGGCTATCTGTAGCACCTTCACTGTAAGTAACATCTCAGGACCCCACAGCTCTGGAAGCCAAGCGGCCCCTATAAGAGAATCATAGACAGATAGAGCAAGAGTCTTCAAACTTGGCAAGTTTAAGACTTGTGGACTTCAACTCCCAGAATTCCTGAGCTAACATGACTGGAGGAGGAATTCTGGGAGTTGAAGTCCACAAGTCTTAAACTTGCCAAGTTTGAAGAACCCTGAGCTAGAGGAACAACCAAAAACAGATCAGTCACCCCCTAGTGGGAGTTTGGGAGTCTCTTTGGTGTCAATCAATAACCCTCCTACTAGTCTGTTCCCAGGCCAGATCTAAACACAACATGGGCAAGATCTGGCCCATGGGCCTTACGGTTGACTTGTCTGCATTTAGAGAATGAATGATATCACAACAGCTATGGTTGTTTAAGAACTCCCACTGATACGGTCAGTGCTAGAAAGTGGCATCTAAATGATGCCAATATATCCAGAAATACCCCTCTTCACTTAGTATTCTACCTTGAGTGAATTTTTACACTGCAAAGTTTTAAAAATTAAAATAGGAAAACTTGGTGTGCTTTAATTTTAATTAAAATAGGAAAACAATCTCACCCACCACCCCAACACACCTCAACAGCTGCAGGGCTTACAGATACCTGTAAACTTTAAATGGACATACTAATTCTATTTGAGATGGAAACAATGAGTAAATACAACATCGTGCTTGTTTGGAAGTATGCCAGTTGCCCTCAAGTTGGACAACTGTAACCAAAGATAATGTATTGGTGTGTGTGTTCATGTGGTGAGTGTGCAAGCTCCACAAGCAGTCATTTTGAACCATATTCCCCAAATTCAAAATGTATCCACCAGCTCCCACCACCCTGAAGAACCTCTTATTGGATCTGTGGATGTAGTTACTGCTGCATTTACTTCAATAAACAATTACAAAACAATCTTTAGTT